GTGAACATTACAATAGAACAGGGAGGAAAAATTTGTTAAGGTTCGATCTCGATGATCGTGGCACGAGTTGCCTTGGCATCTTCTTTCGAAGATCTGACGATGAGATAGCAACTATATCGATATTGTATCGATCGACGATCGCCGCGATAACATCGCGGGTTAATGTAATAATTAATAACAACAATGACTGCGTCGTTTGGGTGCAACTGAAACCGTGTACAACATCGAACGCGTTACGCCGTGAATTACGGGTTCGCTACAGGCTGCAGATACTCTGGTTGTTCTCTTATCTGGTATCTTTGTTATCTCGCCACGGGAGCGATGGATATCGCGACTCTACGACGAAAGATCAACGGTCTGAATGCACGACCGCGGGCCAATCGATTTCAATGATACGATCTATTTTTAACGCGACCGCTATGTACCAGCGTGCACGATTAAACAGCCTTGTACGGTCGACAGACAGTGATAAGGGCGACCATTCTCGCTTGTTTATTAACCCTGTGATCCCTGAACTGCCATCTGTAACGGTCCCGAACGAGCAATTCTCAGTCGTTTTCTACCGTGATTTACTTCCAACAGATCAGATTTAAATTGTTATGATTGCTAATTGTTGCTCGGTGACTCGATACCCTCGAACAAAGGGGTGGAAGTTGTAAACATTTTTCTAGTAGCGAATTAAACCTCTTGATTCATCGCTTTGACTCATCGTTTGATCGTTGTTGCTATTAAAGTCAACATTGATATATTTATAACCATGTTTTCTATAGGCAATATTTAATATAACAGAAGTAGTAGAATGTTATAAAATATGGCTGAAAATGTAAAAGTGTTACACAGTCGGTGGAAAATATATTTAAACGTAACAAAATAATATTTTTGCACATGTATGTATTATGGAATAATATTTCGAGGCAATATCAGAATCTGAGTCTCTTTCAATAGTTCTGAAGACAAATTAACTCGAAGCAATTCAGAGTCTGACATCAATCTTTGCTAATTTTAAATTAATTACAACAAAATTACGAGTCTGTCAGTAATGTAAAAATTGAAAATAAAAGTTACTTTACCGGTATCATTAAATTGGTCATCTTCAATTATATGCACAAATAGATAGTTTTAGAATAATAAACAAAAGTGACACTTATAAAACTGGTGAATTTGCACGCAAGCATAAAAAATTCAAATGATTTATATAAGTGTCAAGGCCGCTACGCGTGGCTCCTCGTTAAGGGTTGGAGAACATTGTAAATTATTGTTCTTTGTAAGTTTCTTTCCTTTATTGACATCTGACACGTTCCTGGCGTAATCAATATATTCAAAATTTCGAGAGTTAATTACGTCCTTGTACAATACGTGTCACGAAGCAGAGACTTTCCCACGATTGGTGAACGCCATCGGGGCCCTCGAAATTCCTCCTGCGCCATCCGACGTGTCAACAAAACGCACGTGACGCTAAGTTCGCCCGAATTCTAGCTCGATACGTATTTAATCGCTCGCCTCATGGTTTAGGCGATCAGAAAAAGTCGTAAACACGTAAGGAGAAGGTTAGTCCGGAGGAAGAACCGGCTCTGACGAGGGAGCAGAACCGGGAATGAAGTCATTAATCGTCTTTTCGAGCAATATATTATTTGCAAATTTCCATTTCTCATTATTCTTAACATACGGCGCGTCGCGAGGCATCTGCCTACGGTTGAGAAACGGAATGGTTTCCACCGGTCGCGATCGGAATCGTTTTCGATGCAAATCGTTACGAGTGTCATTGGTTTCGCGTCGAAATTGACAGTCCCGGTACGTACGAAAATACGTAGGTATGTATGTATAATTACGCTGCGTGTCGGCCATTGCGTGAATTTTTAGTCTCGCGTGAGAAACTCGAGGACTCGAGTGGCCAAATTGTACGGAAAGCGGAATGTAGTTTTCTCTGTAAGTATGAAATTACTGCAACGAAATCGGTTCGATTACGAACCTTCGACCGACGAAGTGAAATCAAAATGACGCCCGTTTGGACCTTCGAATCCTCGAAATTATAAGTTTCGGTGTATCGTGCTTGAAATGATAATGCGTATTTACAACACGGCAGTTGCATACAATGTGAAATTAAGTATCACGAGGTTATTTGACATGTAAGAATACGAAAAAAGGGGTGAAATTTATCAGTGACGATTAAAGAGTTTCATACTTGTATATGGATTTATGTAAAGCAGCGACTGATTGACGCAAACAGTAATTCAAATTGATTTTAATGCGGTCAATTAAGTATTTACTTAGTCATTTCCGACCTTATATGCAAGACTTCTTCGATATTTAATTTTTAAGTAATACAGTAAAATAATTTGGATATTATATAAATCGAGGCAAAATGAGAGTGATTTATTAAATTGAAAACTATTTAATTAGTTGAACACAGTAGTGATAGTATTAAAAAACTAATAGTAGAGATTGATATCAATCACAGGATGTATGACGATGTGACCTTCAAATGACCTTGACTATTTCAAGGACTTGGGGACATTTGAAGGTCACGTTGTCATACATTATTAGATCTTGACGTTCAGTAATACGTGATTGGTTGAAATTAATAATTTTTTATATCGTATTGAAATGGGAGGATTGGTAATATGATTTAATAATAAATTTACAAATATGTAGAAATTGTAACAAGTCCATATGGAAGGAGATAAATTTCATCGATATTAGATAAGACTTTTAATAAAAATAATAAATATTCATACCTGAGTATGATCCTTAGGACCTTTTTCTTTTTTTGTCAAAGAATCATGTGTACCCAATGTCCTCCAAAGCCTCAACTGAAACACGATAAGTTTTCTCTCAGAAATTAAGTCCATAAGGTTTTATAGTTGTTATATTTATACTTCAGTTTTCAATGTGAAAACTAAAAAACTATCCTAGTCAACCATACCTATTTAAAAATCTAAATGGAATACACAGTAAAAGCTGCAGAAGAAGAAGAATGACAAATATATTTTCCTGTTCTATATATGGGAAAATTAAAAAAACTACCCTAGTCAAACCTACTTCATACCTATCTGAAAAACAAAAATAGAATACAGAATAAAAGCTGTAGTAGAAGAAGAATGACAAATATAATTTCTATTCCATATATGGAATCAAAAAGAAAATTCTTTCAAGTACGACTTAAATAGTCAATCTTTGAAACAGAAATTGAAAAACTATCCTAGTCAAACCTAATTCATACCTATCTAAAAAAAAACAAAAATAGAATACACAGCAAAATTTAGAGCAGTAGAAGAACGATAACAGTCAAACAATTTAGAATGACCATTCTAATCAAGCTCCACTAGTTAAAGCTCACATTTTAAAATACTCGTACTTTAACAGAGAGGCTCAGACACACGTCGCCTAATTTTGCATCGAGATTCAGCGCGCGGAGGCTCGTCAAAATCCAAGACAGCGTCCTCCCCGCGGCTTCGAACTCTCGGTTTCCTGTTAGAACGACCGCGTTGCATCGAATCTGTCCCGACCACTGCGTCGACGGGTGGTCCGGATAAAACTGGCAGAGGAGAGGGATGAAACGAAAGAAACGATCGACGTGGAGAGAGAGACAGGCAAGAACCGCGCCTTAATGGAAACGAGCTAACGACCCGTGGAAACGTAAACGCAGTCACGTACTCGCGGGTAACGATCGACGAGTGACCAATCAATGATCATTATTTATGGTTATGGGTATGGCTACAGGCCATGGCTACTTTTCGTACGATTCCGTAGGCCCCGAGAAACACCTTAACGAGTGGCCTGGAAAAATGTGAGCGGCGCTCGTAATCAGCGTGCGCGTAAAGTTGAACTCGCGGCGCCGATTCCGCTCGAACGTAGCCAGCTTGTCTCTCGCGGACTCCGGGTGGTTGTCCCACGGTCACACGGTGGCTCGTTACCCGCTCAAGCAACGTTATTGTCGTTCGGAACGCGGTGCTTTTTGTCCAGGAATTTCGATGGATCCCGAAGTCGTCCGCTTCTGTTCCCGGAGAAAGGCATCCGCGGCTATCTAAAAGCGATCGACCGTTGGTGAACCGTCTCTGCCCTTTTTAGGACATTACGATCGGCCCTTTCTGATACGGAAGTGGCAATTTCTCTTCGTCGTTCGACGCGTAATTACGTAATTACGTTCTGTAACCGTCTTCGCCAACGTTAGGATGTTCTGAGAAATATCGCGCGTTTCCAAACATTAGCGGGGAGGGGTTTTCAAAACGTCGATTTTTATCACATTCTCTCGAGGATTGTATCGACAAGGTTACGAGAGTCTCGAGAAGACGTGGGGGCGTTAAGGGGATGAAAAATCGAACGGTTTCTTCGAGATTCTTTTTACGAAAAATCTGCGAAGTCTCAATTTTCAGCATTTCTCATATTTTTAAGAATATGTAAAGAAAATTACTGGCTCATAGAAACCATGATACAACAATTCTAACATCTGCTATATTTTATACTAAAATATGTATGTAAATGAGAGACCGTTGTTTTATGTTGTTATGTATTTCCAATAGTAATGTCTAAATATCATGTTTTTATATATTACGATATTTAGGATATGTATTTTAACGTGATACTTTTGTAATTATGCAGTTATCAAGCAATTCTAGATCCGAAGAAAGAAATATTGTGATAAACTGTAAAATTTGAATTAAGTCTACGTGCACTTGTAATAGATGGTCGAGAATCAAAGTGGTTAAAATGTGCAACACTTTCGGGACCACTTTAATATGCCCGGAAATTGAACAGCGCCTTCTTTTCGATTTATAAACAGGAAGGACGGCGCGAATGCGCCAAGAATCGTAAATCATTATCGTCGTTACATTAATTGACGTTAGGGCCGATGCGAGAGGTGCGATAAGCCGTTCTTTTTACCGGCGTTTTGTCCGAAAGGCGAACGACGCACGCGAGAATGGATAATTGATTATTATTAATGAAATCCTTGTCAACAATCATGCTTTTTAACCGGTGTATTTTTTCTTTTTTGTTCTCAGGACGAAGTAAGTAACGACCCACGACAGTTAGAGGCTGTACAATCGAGAGAGACTGTGAGAGCTAGGCGAGACTAATGACGAAATGGCATCAGAGAACGTGAGCTTTTCCGAGGCCATTATTATACTTGCCCTTACTGTGGAATCGTCGACCGTTTCATTTCAGTAGATTGGTACAATGATCCACGCGCCTTACAAGATAATGATATTTTCATAACAACGATTCTTACCTCCACGGGAGTTTTTTATTAAACATTACAACGAAGAAGTGGAAAAAGCTTAAATAGACACGATGGGTTGTGATATAATCAGTTCAATTATTATTATACAAATGATGTGTTTTAATTGAACTGCATTAATTTCACCATTAAGTACCTTGTAAATAAATGTAAAAATTAGTTATTTTCTTTATACCTACGTAAACGTATAGGAAATTTGAATTATTTTACTATGTTTTGGAACAAAATGTCTAGTCAAACTTCTTTTACTTTTCTACAATAAAGAGCTACTGATTTATCTCAAGCAAATTTTTGTTTCCGAAAAATCTTGCTCTTATAAAATATTATTTTAATCAAAACTATTCGAAGTTAGTGTGCCAAAAATTACTTTACTTTTATAATATAAAATATACTCCTAACAATTTATTATTTTCGTTTAACGTGTTCGACCTTTATTGAAGCTATTTCAACGAAAGAGAAAAATATCGAGAAATTATCGAACACATATTTAGATCGGTCGAAACAGAAAATAAAAAAAATGTGTGTCGATAGCTTTAAAAGAACAGTCGAAATGATATACAATGTTTTTGATTCAAATTCAATTTTCATTCCTAATGATTTTACTTGATAAAAATAACAAATACATAAATTAAGTTTGCACAGTTTTAAGTGTCTTAAGACTATTAACTGTGGAAGGTTACGATCGTGGTATTAGTCACGCGAATGGCACTCGCTTCGCGCGTACCTAATTCCCCATTAGTGCCATTTTCCGCTGTCGGTCCTTCGGCCGTAGCTATTCGAAGCTGCAATGCCACATGGATTTCACCCATTAACTCAGAACACTAACGAACGTGAAACGTCGTGTTCTCCTAAGAGAAACGTCACTCTGTCGCTCTACAATACAATCGATTTTTCCCACGGTAATCTAAACGCTGGTAACAACGAAAGGTAAACTAATTCACCAACGAGAGGGAACTCTTCCATGAAAACGCTTAAATCTTACCTGCATTTTAATACTAAATCATTAAAGAATATATTAAGGTGCTTCGTTAGAATTGAACAAATATCATTTTTCATTTGCACCTGTTATTATTTTATTTTCATTTCTTTCTTGTTATTGCTGGTATTTAAATTTCTTCACTGAACTCTTAATGAGACTTTTAGGTATAGTATTACAATCGTATTTTCGTTTTTATAAAAGAAATATTTGTGGCAGTGGAAAACAAGTTATTTATTTCAATGAACGATAATACTATTTTAAAAAAAAATTAGATACAATTGTACGTTAATTGGCTCTATACAAATTTTAATTCAGGGATAGAAAATATTTTTTAAATATTTAAAAGCAAAGAATAAAATACAAAAATGGAGAAGCCAAGATTCTAGTGTAACGTGTGTTCCAAAGCTGAAAAAGTAAAATAGAAACAATTCCTTAAAAAAAAATAATTCAATTTCGAATAACCCCTATCCAAATAATTATTTTGAAATACCAAGTGATACGATTATAACAATGGGGGCTTTCCGTCATCCCTCTTTTCCACAACTAGATATCGACTGATACTTTAATAATCAAACAAATATTTGTATTTAGAGACATTAAAAATTCGTCGTGAGAATCTATTAGCTGTCACCGAGCAACATAAATCCTCGAAAGACGTTTCACTCGTTAGCAGGTCGCGTTTTCCGTTCGTTTCCGCGAAAACTCCACGCGGAACTGGATCCCGGTCGCGCGAAAAACAACGAGACGCGAATTACGTTAAAATGTGGGTTACTGGAGCTCCAGGCTCGCGATATTAACCGTGGAAACGTTTGGACGAAGGATACGAGCGATTCCCTCGTCCCGGATAACGAGGATCGGACTCGTCCGCCAGCCTTAAAACTGTCAATCCGCGGGATCGAGCTTACTCGTAATTCTCGTGAATCGAGAATGACTGGAAGATGTCGGGGAGGCCGGTCGGTCGGCCGTGTCGACACGCTTAGCCTCGTTTGTCCCGCGTAATGGCCGCAGTCATAACTCAACAGCGACTCGAGTCGAGCCTAGGCGGACTCGAGTCGTTTCTGCTTGCTCCGCGCGACTCTTACACGGGACCGAACCGCTTCAGATAGATCAGATTCACGGAAACGATGGGTCGATCTCGCGAACGATCGATGCCACCGGCGAGTCGAGAGGCGATATCGGTTTCGATCGTTCCAGTAGCTTCTATGAGAACGCGCCTTTTCATTCGGTCCTCGAGCTCGCGTGCAGAACCACTGTCGAAACCATGGGGATCGAATGACGAGTCCCGTACAGCGCGGAATGTTACCGGGAATATTGTTGCGACGGTGCAATGTTGCATAGCACGCGTTTGGAAACGGTTTAGACATCTCCTGGTAATAATATTATGTTAGCGAATGGTATTGCAACTCTCGATACTTCACAATAACATGGTCCTTTGTGTCAATATTTTGCAAGACATTGTTTCTTGAGGACGATTGTACTTTCTTAAAGATTTTTTACTAACATTTGAGACAACTGTGACGGCCCTGAAGTTACCTGAAGAAAATAAATATTGTTAAGTGATAATTGTTTCAATTGTGTCGAAATCCTATCGTTGAAATACTAGCTTGAAGATTCAATTTGCAGGAGAGTGACTCCTTTCATCCTTATAATTGCGTCGCAAGTCGTGTCGTTCGGATGAAAGGCCGTTGCAGAGACTTAGCACGAAGACGCTAATCAATTGTTAATCGATCCCATCGGTCTCACAAGGAACCATCGCGAACGGTCCGGCTTCGATTTTGATGAAACTTTGTACACTTATAAAGCAGCCAAAAATAATCGACACGTATTTTTTTTTAGCTGCGGTAACTCGAGTTTAAGGGGTGAAACCACATCTTGAAGTTTTGGCTCGAAACGGCTATCTCGAAAACAGAAAGAGATACAAAAAAATTGTTAATGGGCGAGGTTAATGGTTTCTTATGTACAATAACATGGTGTTAAAAAATTAAAAAAAATACAATTTGTTTATAACAAAAAAAAATTTATTAACTTAATTTTTCATTTTATTGAAATTTTCATAATGACAAAAAATGACGAGCATTTTATTCCAAATCCATTGGTATGCGATTTTTTAAAATTGCCTCTTACAGTTTTGCAGATTTTGATGATTTACATCTTGCGCGCACATTCATTATGGTAGTAGCCGTTCTAACTTTGATTTTAATGAAGCACTGTAGGCTTGCACTAAATTATACAGTAATAAGTAGCGAGTAATAATAACAGTAACAAGTTTCTTAACAGCAACGAAAGGATTAATTATTTTTATTGCCCACCTATGACATCGTGGCAAAGGTGGAGCGATTTATAAATTATAAATATATGCAGTGTGTATAACAATTATTCTATATAGTTCCGACAATAGTGGTACTCGTCGAAAAAATGTTTGAAACATAAAGATTTCTTACACCATGCGCATTTAATTATTGCCACGTCACCGCAAATATGACATGTTGGCTCATTTTCAACGAATAGCAGTACTCAACAGGATTCTGGAATGCATTTGGCTTTTCATCTATATATCCGGATTTATACCAGGAGTATTTAAGAAAATTTTGGAACCTTGGCGATGAAAATTGATTGTGGACCAGAGATTGAAGTTTAATTATATTATTCCTAGCGTGGAGATTAATGTCGTGATTTAAAACGAGAACTATATCGGAAAATCGGTGGACGAAATTTTTCCAAGTGCGGAAACCGTAAACATCCAGTGGTTGAACATACTTTGTTCCACCTTTTGGTATTATAAAAAGTTTTACATTTTTACCCTCGGGAGTAACTTCGTTCACCGTCTTCTTACAGTGACCACTCCAGGAATCAAGAATTAGAACTGTTGCGGCCCCAGTATTTGCGAAGTAAATCTCTCTTAACCAGGTTTTGAAATAGTCCGTAGTTAATTTGCCTGACTTTAAAGCTACAAGATATACATTGTCAGGGCGAAATAAATGTTGTTCCACAATCGGCCCGAAATGTCCTGTACTCTCTTTCAGTACAATAAATAATGGTGACAGTAATTGTCCATCAGCTGAAATGGTTGGCTGGATGGTATAACTATGAGTGGTGGATGACACTGATTGAACACCTCCTTCTACGATTTTTATACCTTCTTCAGCCAAAGTGCGCCCTGAATGTAATTCCAAATTAAAACCACTTTGATCGGAATTGTAAACATTGTGTGGTTCATTTCGGGCTATATATGATTTTACTTCATTCACGAATGCGCTGCATTGCAAATGAATATCGTCTTCTCGATTTACCATATTTGTGGTTACAAATCTGGTAATTTTTCTGGACACTAATCTAAACATCTTTTTAAAAGTATATAGCCAAGTATATCCGGCTTTAAATGTTTGTAAATTTTCTATGTCCCTCGCTTGTAAAGCCCATCGCCGTAGATCTACTTCATGCACAATTACTCTTAACTGCCGAGCTTCCATAAATTTATTAAATGTATACTCTGCAATACGTTTTATCTTTTCCTTTTTTGTGCCACCCTGTTCAACTTGTAAAGCCCATTTACGAAGCATTCTTTCGGATTTCACGTGACGGAATTTGGAACGTACGGTGTCTAATTTTAATCGCTTCGACTTCCCGCTGTTCCAGTACGCCACAGCTTTCCTTTTATATTCGAATGGGATGTATTCCTTATTCGAATGACATACAACGTCTTGTTCGTATATGTTTGGAATATTCTTCGACACTTCTTACAATTAAATCGAATAATACATCCCTTAAATTTTCTTCTGCTCTATTAATTG